CGTGCGTTCATCGAGATATGAAGCACGCGGGAAGTTTGGAGAGCACAAAAGGTGCGTAAGAGTTGCTTGAGGCATAGCCAAGACGTATGAACCAATTGTTTTATAACATTTTCAACCCAAGGCAAAATTTTTTTCTCGAGGGATTTGTTTGCTTACGTCATGAGCGTGCACAATAGGAATATAAAGCACGCTCGCACAATTGAATTTGATTAGACAAATTTACTAGCTATGTTATAATTATTCTTGAAGACTAAGATTTAAGAAAAGAAAGTTATAAGGAGTGATGCAACATTTGTTGGTGCTTGCTTATATCTTTACCTGGTAATGCCAAATCCAGGGAAAAATTGGATCTTCTTTGAGTTAGCAATTAGTTTGAGTAACTTGGTTTCAAGTTAGCAGGGTTCTACTTTATTATAGTATGTTTCAGTAATAAATAAATGAAAAACTCCAAGGCAAGGCAAGGCATGAGCATGAGCCTTCAATCAGTTTATGGCTGAAAGGCTTGTTTAGAATCAACCTAAGTTCCCATCTAGAAGTCTTATGGCCAAAGTGAGAGGTCATGCAAAGAGTCTTTGTATTTCTGTGAGTCTCAAATTTTACCATCTGCGACTCCTACGGCTGCATCCTGATCAGCCAAACCAGAATTTGTTGTCTTTTATTTTTCTCCACAGAAGTCTTGATACTTTCTGCCCAACAACTGGAATGTTTCCTCAAGAATTCATCATCACTTTCAGTGCATTAATGAGCATTGGAAATATTAAATTCCTATCTTCAAATGGTGAGGATGATGGTGGATGATCTTGAAATGATGTTTAGTGTAATGTAACAGGGGCATTATCAATTCAGTGATTTTTTAGTTTTTCTTTTTTCATAACAAAAAATAACTCTATGTAAGTGAGTAGAGGGGTATGTTGCTTGCGCCAATCAGATCCCTACATTAGGGTATGTATCTTGTCATTGCTGCATAAGGGTATGTATCTCTGTATCTCACATCAATCAGATTGCAGCATTGGGGTATGTATCTCACACCAATCATATCACAGCATTTGGATATCTTGTACCAATCATGGCTTTTTTGCAAACGATGTCTTGGAATTGGGGGGCTGTGCACAAAGCATGACGTTAACCAAAAATTCTGGGTTCATTTGATAAGTGCAATGGTTTGTGGCCTTTGTTAGATCCTCATTGAAAGGTAGAGATTTCTTGGGATATGAAAGGTTTCCATTTAACTTTTTGCATCATTTTTAAGTTAAAACATGTTTTTCCACTCCTTTACTTATAATGCACTTGCCAAACACATACCATGAGAACAATGTCCAAAGTCCAATCTGAACATGCTCGATCATTGCACTACATGAACATTAGGCAATGTTTCATGTGCTTGAATTGTACTCCACCAATCAAATTCCATTTTGCCAGACAAGACTTTGCTCCATCACATGTCATTTCCTTGTAAACAACCTGCATTTTATTGCATATTGTAACCACATTGTCTAACCCCACTGAAAAAATTCACATGGAACAGACTGCTCCTGATAGTGAATTTTCTATGCAACTCTCCTGCATTTTTACTTTTTCTTAAAAAAAAACTCTGCTTTAAGCTACCTTGGACTTAACCCAAGTGCAAGTTAATTCTTTGTAAACAACCTGCATTTTATCATGCATTCCACACACAGAGGGCAAAGTCCAGTAAGGCAACAACAAATCAAGGAGCCCCCCTTTGAAATGTTATCCTTTTTTCTTGGTCAATGTATATTCAATCATTTGAGATCAAAATATATCTTTGTTTGGGATATATTGGAGATACAACAGAGTTTCAGTTTGCTTTTCACAGTAAACTAATGTAGAATTATATTTTTGAGGTAACAGACTGCAAACAAATAATTTTGATTTTCTCTCTGATAAAGGAACAGCAGGAAGCATAGTCCCTTTTGCAACTGTTATTTGGTCTTGTCATGCAAACTGCTCTCTCTTCAATGAGAAATAGATGGTGTTGTGTAACAACACCAAACAATGGGTGTGAAGGAGACAGCAATAAATGTGGCACCGCTGCATTCTATTTTTGTCTCGAAGTATTTAGACCATGGAAACAATAGACCAAAAACTACTTGTGTGAGTTCAGGTAAATTTTTTTCTTTCTCTTATGGTGAAGTTATGCAATATTTTATTTCTTTTGAAAGTTATGTTCTTTTCCTGTTATAAAAATGAAAACATTAGCTACACAAAGTATCCCATGTCAACCTACCCCACCAAAAAAATAACTCTTGCATGCTGTGTATGCCTATGTATTATTACAGGAGCTGCATCACTGTTTTTGTGCCACATTGTGAAAACTTTAAATATATATTTTTTTAATGTCAGTGATGTAAAAAATTGAGAAAAGTCTTTGTGAGGAGTCAGGTGTGAGTTACCAGCTCCTAAGAAACCAGGAGCTTCAAGGTTTTGTAGCATATGTGAATTTTTATTTGCAGTTAAAAGCCTCTGCATTGAGAAAAGCACAAAAACGTAACCAGTAGACTTTGAACCTCTTGTGGACAACAGTAAAAGAAGCCATAGATATGTTATTGAAAATGTTGCTGTTCATCCTGGTTACTTAAAGGTAAATGTATATTTAATTGTTTGTCTCGCGATGTAAAGTAAGGCCACCATGATTTATTATACAGTTGACAGTCTGACTTTACTTCTTGAGACAATACACATCTAGTATAAAGCTACAGTTCGGTTATTGCATAGCCCTTGGGGCTCTTCTGCCTTAAAAAAATTTAAAATATAGTCAGGACCTTTCACAGGAAAAAGATTAAAAATTTAATCAGGAAAAAATGACCAACATGATAACAAAATAATTAAAAAAAGTTTAAACAAGTTGACATTCAGTCAAATAATCCTCTGACTTTGATCACTGACAGCACAGTACAGTACACATTGACGTGGCCCAGGCCTG